GATAGATTTACAATAATAATAATAATAATAATAATTATTATTATTATTATTATTATTATTATTATGTGCCTTTGGGTCAGTCTTGACTCCTGGCAACTGCAAGTTTTGCAGAAGTGGCTTGCATTGCCTCCTTCCTAGGGCTGAGAGAGAGTGACTGGCCCAAGGTAACCCAGCTGTCTTCGTGCCTCAGATGGGACTAGAACTCACGGTCTCCCAGTTTCTAGCCTGGTGCCTTAACCGCTGCATAAAACTGTCTCTCCAAATTATTATTATTATTATTATTATTATTATTATTATTATTATTATTATTATTATCACTAAAACTATAAAAATTACACCTAATATATATAATCAAAGGAGAAACAGTCTCTGTATCTGTGCATACACAGCAGTAAAGTTCTTTTGTTGTCATTCAGTGTTTTTATTACACTCCATGACTGACATCAGATGACATTATAATGTAAAAGAAGCAGTCAGTTCACATCTAGCTTTGCAGGCAGCATAATAAAATCTGGTGACATAAATAAAATCCACCTGATCAGATAAAGGAATTTACATATAAAATAAATCAGTATGACCTGGATATTTTACCAAATGAAGTAAACAGGCTTTGATATCCCCATCCCTATAAAACCAGAAATACAATAAAACTTGGGCAGTGGATTCTATAGCTCCAGCGGTTCCTCATTCTATTCTTTCTGGTCATCACAAAACTTTTCTTCTTAACATCAAATGCAGATAAAACAGAACTCTCAACTTATTCACATGAATTAATTGAAGAAACAAGGACTGAGGTAACCAAGTGGTTCCTATCTCTGATGTAGACTTCAGTAGTCAACCTTGGTTGTTTACAGAAACTGAACACAGTTGGCCCCAAAGAGCTGCTGTATGGAGAATCACTTGCAAATTCCAGGCTGTTCGGTAGATTGGAAAGAAAAAAAAAACAACCCCAGAACTAGGCCAAGACAAACCACTTCCATATCATTGCCAAAAACCCTACATGGAAGCAATCACCAGAAACTGAGTTGAGTCAAGCACATCTTTACCTCTTTATTTCTGAGATACAGGATCAGAAATTCTGTAACTGTAATAAAAAGTGTCCTATTTGTCCAAAAGGTAGCCAAAGTAATTCTTTGACTCTCAACAAATGCATACGACAATCAGACATTAACTGCCAATCTTTTACTACAACACAATTTTTTTCTGAAAACATTGACCTGTACAGGGCCAGATTAAGGCTAACTGATGCCCTAAGCACAGCCCAACAACAGTGCCCCTCAACAGAAATGAAGCTGTTGAGATGGAAACAAATGTGGTATCTGACGACACCTTTAAATCAAACTTTTACATTTTAGTCACTCACCATGCCAAACAAAACATTTTTTAACAATGCAGATTAAAGTTGAACATGGCAGATAAGGACAATTACAAAAAAAAATCGACTAAAGTCGAGTCTGGCAGTGAAGGAGTTAAGGGCATGATAAAGGAAAGAATTCTGTGGTACCCACCTTCCTTTGGTATCCTAAACACCTGCTTATTTTGCTGAATGGTTAATCCAGGGCTGGACCCATAGCATCAAAGCAAGTTTGTAACCTCTGCTGACTGCTGATAATACCCATCTATTTTACCTTTTTTGCTGCTTGCCTTTTGTTTTAAATTTGTACAGAAATACGATTGATCATAAAGATGTCACCTTCTTTGCATAAGATAATGTCTTTGTATGCATCTCACTGTGTGTGCTTCTATCAAAAAAACAAATTGCGGTTCTGAATATAATAGGCTTGGAAGATAAATGGGACCTTCTCAATTTCCCAATGTTAAGCACTCAAATCTCATTACTGTGGGACTATGAAAGTATTTCATGTGATTAAAGGTTGTATTAATCTATTATGAAATATAATGTGTTTTTGTTCATGTGGACAGCATGCATTGCAATACTGCTTCATAATTGAGCATATTCAAATACTTAGTTTAATCACACATATTGATTTACCTTATCTATATAAGCAGCTTTTGATGTTGAATTAGGAGGAAGATTTGATTTGTCCAGATAAAATGCTCTGGG